AAAGTTGACCGACATGTCAGTACTCGTTGCATCGCACAGGAGCTAAATATCGAACATAAAATAGTTTTAAACCATTTACACAAACCTGGATTCAAACAGAAGCTTGATGTTTGGGTGCCACACCAATTAACACGATAAAATTGATAAAATTTCTGAAATGGATGGGGAATGGGGATGATAAATATTTAACATACGAAAACACTGTCCAAAAACGATCATGGTCAATGCACGATGGAGTAGCTCAAACAGTGGCCAAACTAGGAAGGTTTTAATGTGCCTTTGAGGAAACGGGAAAGAATAATTTATTATGAATCACTTCTATGGGGTCAAAGACTAAATTCGGATCTCAACTCTCAACAATCAGACTGTTTGAAACTAGCGATTGACCACAAATGGCGAGATTTGGGTAACAGAAGAGGTGCTGTGTTCCGTCAGGACAATGCCACGCTACTCACGTTCATTGTGACTCGCCAGAAACAGCTTGTTTGGGAAGTTTTGAGGCCTCCACCAAGATCTGGAATCAAGGAATTACCATTGTTTTCTTGCATTGTAAAAGTGCTTAATAATAAGAAACTGACATCAAGAGAAGATTGTGAAAATGGATTACAAGTGTTTTTCTTTAATAGGACCAAGACTTTTATGGGAGAGGCATTATGATACTACTTTTGATATGTCTACAAATTATAAAACAAAGCGTTTTACATTTGACCAAAATTGTTAATATGAAACATGTTAAATAAAGTCTTGAAGTTTATGCAAAAAATATGGATTTTGTTTTCCCCAACCAAATATATGTGTTACACAAAACACAGTTTTTGAGCTCAAAAGACTACAAAAAGCTAACCAATAATTTTTTAGGAAAAGTTAAAAAATTTTTTGGAGTGATTTTAAAATGCTACTCTTCTCATAATATTTCAAGTACATTGATGAAGTTGACTTACACATACATTGAATTATATGTAAGCAAAGTTGATATGCGTTTGATGATAATTTGATTGATATTCGAAATTACATTTTTTATGAATGCGTATTGGAAATTGTTTAAAAATTGCATAAAAACTAAATTCATCTACTTTTTTTAAAAAAAAGTATGCATTGCTTTGATTTCAAAATACATAACAATATTTGCTACACGTATTAATAACAATAATTAAAAAATTACAAGGCATTTGACACAATAATGAGAATAATGAATGAAGATAAACTAGTTGTTTCAATTCCTACTATCAGTACACTCGCTCTCTCCATTATGTATATAAATATATTTATGTTGTTCAAATTTTCAATCGTTAATATAATTCTTTCTATTCATCCGATCAAGTTCAAATAATTTTTTTAAACTTGTAGTGGATGACACTCGATGTTTATACATATTTTACAAATATTGATTCATTATTAACGGTTAATTAATTAAATTAATTACGGTTAGACGAACTAAATTTTTTTCATTTTGTAACAATGTAGCTAATAAACAATGACAAAAGTTGGCATCGAAAACCGGGTTTTCAGCCAAACTTGATAAACCGGGTGTGCATTGTTACAACAAGGCAGATAAATCATGCTCTTTTTAATTCCTGCTATTAGTTCACTCTCTCCCTATATATATCTTGTTCAAATTTTCAATTGTTAATGAAATTCTTTCTATTCATCCATTTAAAGTAGGAATTGACTTAATTTTTTTTTTATTTACTTCTTTTCCTTTCTGAGATAAATCAGCTTAAGGTTTTTGTTCACCAGCATAGGGATGCGAATAATAGCAAAAAAAAATATAGTAGCTCTAGTTTTTTTAACACATTAGAGGTTCAAATTTTGTCAGTCATGACCCATCATCCACAACACTTCAAATATCAAGTAAAAAAATCATGATGGAACTAAAAGGAAAATAATTTTGCAAAATACCCATTTACTTTTGTTGTGTTTTTGGTTTCCATTGCAGATATTCACGACAATATATTCACGTGAAAATTTAACAGCTGTATTTATCTAACCTGCTAGCAGTAAGCAAAGTAGAGAAAATAGATACGTTGTTAACAAAAACATCAATGTGTTTCTTCAGTCTGTGTTTGTGGTTCGGTGGTCTAGGGGTATGATTCTCGCTTAGGGTGCGAGAGGTCCCGGGTTCAAATCCCGGCCGAACCCAATTGTTTATTTTTCTATACTCTTTAACAATTATTATATTAGATATAATGGAAAGTTCTGTACACTGGTTATCAAAAATGCGTTTATTCATTTGATGCATACTTGTGTTTTTCTTTTCATTACCGAATATATATATATTGATCTCACAAATAAATTAAAACTAAGATCACTAATGTTAATATTAAGTGAGATAGACTCATATATCCGTATCTCCTTATAAAGTTCATTTACGTCACCGTATTTTCTTCTAATTCCAACAAGGAATATATGGTATAAAAGTATGAAAATACATTAAAGGTGTTTGGTGAAGGCATAATTTCTGACAGATAATGTGTTAAGGATTGCTCAAAAAAAATTCAAAAAGGGTATTTCCCACATTATGATAAACTGCGCTTTCCTGGAGAAAAATAATTTTTTTTGACAATATCGGTGCTAACGGAAATGCTTGATTCATCTCAAATACAAAACATTTCGGAATATTTACAATTAGTGTGGAAATATGCGAGATCAATACCATACGCAAAATAAAGGAGAAGAGTTCGAGTAATCGCACCACTATACGCACATCTTTGTTTTCACGGAACATCTCTGCTTTTACGGAATATCTTTTGAGGTGATGAAGCGAAAGGAAAATTTAAATTTTGAAAGGCACTGTTAGCAATGGGATAATTTCACACCGCTCTCCAAGAACACAGGCCAGCGATGTTCAATTGGAAGGATATCATGCTGCTTCAAGAAAAAGCCAGATATCATGCTGATTTGGGGACTCGTCAGAAACTAGCAGAGCTAAGGCTGGGAAGTTTTGTTGCATCCATCAGCCTTTCCAGACATATCCCTTTTTGATTATCACTTTTTCTGTCCTTGCAAAATTTTTACAGGGAAAAAAAATTTAAAAATGAAAAAATGACAGAAATTTCTGGTAGACCTTACGTTAGTACCATTTTGTGATCTTTTGTGCATTTTGTCATCTAAGAAATTATAAACTAAATATAAATATATATTACGATTCTATATTCCGTCACATATTGTTATTTTTAGTTTTTACTTTGTCTTCTTACGTCAGATTGATGCAATGTGTATTAAGATTTCGGGAGCTTAAGGTTTTATTAATTAATTACACTTAAAAACGAAAATAGGAACCAAGTAGTGTTTTAAGCATTTATCAAAGTGTTCGTTATAAAATAATTGCTTTCAAGTGAAAAATAAGATTTTTATTAGGAAAAAAAATCATGATTTTTGACCCAAAAAAAATACCTGTATAAAAATATGATTTTTTTTCAGGGGAAGAAAGAAAACCACAGCGTCTATTTGGTATTTGCTTGTATAATGTCGTTAATAAAGAAAGATTTTTATTTAAGTTTTTTAAATTAAAAAAAATAAATCTGACATCTCATTTAACCCGGGTTCACTGGGCCTCTTTTTGCTCCGTCGTGGGTCACGGGGTGTTGAAAATACTCCAAACATTTGACGCATTTATTTAATAATGAAACAAAAAAATAGTCAATTATGATTCGTTTTTATGAAGTACAAGATGTTTTGAATAAAACAAATAAAATTGTAAAATGTATTGCATACTAATCAGACTAATATTGATATAAACTAAACCTACAACATTTTTTATTTTAAAATATATAAATTTATATATTTTTTGATAAAATATAGATAAAACTTATATACCATTGAGGAACATACTTTGTAATTAAATTTAAGTACATTAAAAGGTAGAAAAACCTTTTGTAATCATTTTCCAAACATTCAACGCAGACAGACTGTATTCGTATGCTCTATAAGCACATATTTTTCTTACATTGAAGACAAAAACCTTTTTTACATATTTTTCCCGTAGAAAAACAGTGAAGTGCCTTTTTTGGCGGATCATTGCCTTTTCTAATAAGATAAGTCTGTAAGGCTTCTTTTTAGTTTTTTTTGTTGTTGTTGATTTTGTTAATGTTCGGATCTTATTTCATACTGTGGCTCTGCACGAGTTTCCGTCCAATCTCCTCTAAAAATATAGAACACGTCTCAGTTTTTTATCAGGAAAGACCGAATGATGCTTAATGGAAGCATTAGTTCCTGCAGTTTCAAGTAGAATGTAAAATAATTGCCATGACGAACGGTTACATATTCGCAACACATCATTTATTACACATTTCATCAGTGATATCAACACCGCTTTTGGTCATATTATAAAAATTCACAAGTTCTGGTTTCATCACTCCAGGTTTGGTTTCTATTAAATTGTCGTCCTTTTCTTCATGAATATTAGAGATAAGTGGAACGCTTTTTCCTCTTAAAATTAATGTCATCAGGTTTTTATGATGACAAACAAAAAAACAAAAATAAGGACGTGCCAGATTTTTGTTTACACAGGAAGGATAATGGTACGTTAATTTTTTTCGGAGTGTGCCAGCTATTGTTAATTTCTTTTTTAATAATTCTAGTCCAAGTGGTCTACTAGTATACCAGCTGCCACAATAAATGTTACGTCCAGAGCTATGTAATGGTTGGCATAAACACAGTACAGAAATATAGTGTAATCGTTTCCGGGAAGTTCTCAGCACTCCAAATAAACTTTTGAAGGTCTTTATGTTCCAATTGTCCGAGCAAGAGTGAAGTTTCAAGGATCTAAAATCTGCAGTTACAGACGAAATAGTAGTTCTGCGCACACACTATTTTTGAAATCCTGGGACACTTATCTTGTTGCTGAGGTGTACAGAACTCCTCGCAGGACAGTAAAGCATATAATAACAATTGTTGGAAACATGTATCAGCCGTACTTGGTAGACATATACAAATGGGCAAAATATAACATTGTATGATAAAAGGAAAAGTATATATTGATATATTGACTGTAATAACGCAGTTTGGTGGTCTAGAGGTATGATTCTCGCTCAGGTAGCGAGAGGTCCCGGGTTGAAATCCCTACCGAGCCCAATTGCAAACGTTTTTATAAACTATTCATTTTGTGAAGCATTGATTAATTATTAATGAATCAGAAAACTTATAATTTATTTTATGTTTTTCATTAATATATAATACCCCTTATTGTGTTTTATACCTTTTTAGGACAGGAAGGGACATTTTAATTTTTAAGATAGCGTCCTCCGTGGAGATCAACTAAAATGATAGCGAGGTCAATTTATTTAAAAAAAACTTAAAAACACGTAATACACATACATGAGAATACCCGGATATTATGCACATTCAAAAGTTCAATTCTTTATATTTTAGTCTTAAGTTTATATTAAGTCTTAAGTCTTTAGTTTATATTTTCTGCATCTAAAAATGTATAAATTTATATAATATGTGATATAAAATAACCATACGATATGAAAAACAAATTTATAAAAATATAAGTAAACGTTCATACTCATTTGACACATTATTATACATAGTTATTGTGTTTGACATCTGTAAATCATTAATTTATTTTTATTTAAAATGAACAATAATATATTTTTCCTTTTAATGCCTAATTTTTTTTTAAAAAATCAGTTTTACATGGGATAAGAGAAAAGCAAAAATTTTTTTTACGGTTTTCAAAGTCTCATAGATGTTTCAAAGATATTATGCAATTATTTCATCAAAAATCTATTTAACTAAGTTTTATTTACTGTTTCATATATGTTAATACAGTATTTTGAAAAATCAAGAACTACTTTGATAAAAAATTGTACCTAAATGAAAATATATTTGACAAAATTATATGCATGTTCAGCAATAATGAAAGAGAAAAAAAATCCTTTCAAAATAAAAATTTTTTTTGTAGCTCAAGAAAATGTTTAAAGTGTCATTATTAAGTATACAAAAAATAGGCTGAAAAATATTACTCAATTGTATAACATGTGAAAGCATTGTTACTTTTGGTATTTTAACTTTTTCTGGAAATCAAACAATTTTGTCTCTAAGTTCACTTTTAAAAAAGCAATTGCACTATATAATATAACTCCAAATATGTTTTGCTTTTATATAAGATACCCCCTGTGAATATAGTGTGAACCTATTTTATTTTTTCTTTAGTCTAAGTAAAGCCTAAAAAAAAGAATTTTATCTACTAGCCTTTTTTTTTTTTAAAAAAAAAAGAATTTTATCTACGAAAAAGAGAGAAAAATATAAATTTCCCAAATCACAAAAGTCTATACATTTTTTAAGGAAATGATTTTTTTAAAGAAAGTAATTTAAGAAAAAAATGGACACTCTATATTTTGTGTATTGTTTTATATATATGTAATGTGTAAATATGTATATATGTGAATATGTGTGTAATATAGTATGTGTAAATACGCATATATGTGAATAGGCGTGTAATATATGTGTAAATATGTATAATGTGAATATGTGTGTAATATATGTGTAAATATATATTTATGTGAATATGTGAGTAATAAATGTGTAAATTCACTGCTGGACACCGTAATAGTAAAATGAATTAATTAATAACCCCATTCAAATTTATTTCAAAGCATTATGTTATGTTGACAACAAATAATGATGCTTTATAAGGAGATAAAAGCAAGGCAATCGACGAGGAATATATACCAGTCAATTGCTTCATTTCTCCTATGCTTAAAGAAAGTAATCAAATTGCAATAAATCCTGATATTGTATTTTTAGTGTAACATAAAAGTAGAAAAGTAATAAAACGTATTATATAATTTTTTAAATAATAATATTGGGATTTGATGAGTTTGAATTGCTTAAACTATAAATTTTTACATTAAAACTAAGGGGGAAATTAAAAGGTAAAAACAGATTAAAGAAATTTCTCATTATTATTTAATATTTTAAATTAGGATAAAGAATTTTTCTTAAGGATTTACACCTTTAAGATATTTTTATGCAATATTTGAGTACAGGGATTTTTTCCATCCGTATTGCTTATACTTAAATTTAATTTATAAGGACTTGGAATGTTTTTGACAAAGTTAAAATTTGGTTCATACAACCGAAGTTTCTTTCTTTCTTTCTTTCTTTTTCTTATAATAAGAGGACTTTAAATGTGTAAGAAGTCCATACATTTATTATTTTTTTTTTGGTAAAAACAAAAAACAAAAAAATCTTTCACATATTTATTGGCCAAAGCCTAAGTAAGATTCTAATTTAACATAAGAAAAATAATAGTGTATTTTTGAAACGTATTGAAAGAACATTTTGTTAGATAAATTTAATAGGAAATATTTAAAAAAGTTTAATATAAGTTATTTCATATATAATATACGTATAGCTTTATCGTCAAAGAAAATTTAATTTCTTCCCATAGAAATTTAGTGTTTAATTGAAAATCATCCAAAATATAAATATTTTCCTTGTTTGTGCAATATTAGAATACGAAATGTAATGAATATATCATGTTTTGCAAAGACTATTATTTGTAATATTCTTGTGTGAGAGTGGGTTTTTTAAGTCAATTATTGACAGAAAAACTATACAAATTAATTTTGTTGCAGGCTTTTTTCATTTTTTATTACTATCCAGAATTTTAAAAAGGACTTTATCTTAAAACACCCGAATTAGGAAAAAATATGTTATTTTAATAAATTTCATGTGGAGTAGTTAAATCTAATGCTGAAGAAGGATATTGAATGCTAAATTTTCATAAAATGATTCAGTACCTTCAAAAATATTTACTTCTTTATTCACTTAAAACAAGTTACAGATTTAAACTGAGAAAAATAGTTATGAATATTTCATAAGTGTTAAAAGGAATTTCAACGAGTAACTCGTTAAGGGAGAAATCAGAAATAATACATACATACTATATATTTATACGATTTATTACTCATATTATATTTGAAACACTGTGCATTTTTCGAGTAGCTCTTTCGAGTAGCTCAAGAGTATTTAAAACTGATGTTTAAAATACTCTTGAAATGTATTTAACTTTTGTGATATTTTTTAACAAAAAGTGTCCTATACTACATACAGTTGATGGAAATAATTGTTTATTTTTTGTCATAAATTAAGATGCATTAAAACACGTAAAATGTATTTTTCCTAAAAAAGACGAATCCCTCTGAAATGTTATTGTTAAACAATATATCCACAAAAAAGTATTCAGTTTTATTTGTAGTTCTTTTGACACATCTCCTTTAATCAGAAAATCAGAAAACTTGAAGTAATTGTTTTACTTTGAAACGTGTATAATTTGATTTTTTATATGATTTAAACTGACTAGTAACATTTTTCTTTGTATGCAATTCCTATATGGAATATAATTAAAAAATGGCTCATTAGAAAGAGGACAGTTACCAATAAAAATATTACATGAAATAATTGCATCAATGTATATTTGAATCATTTAAATCTTAAGGTTCAACATATACTTTCTAAAGCTTAATTTATAAATACCCGTGCCGAGAAAGAAAACATGTGATATTTTTCTTGCAATAAATAAGGAAAAGAAATTTTCAGTTATAAAGAAAGTGATTTATAGGCAATTTATTTATAAAAAAATCTCAATAACAATTTTCTCCTGACTAGAAAACATGAAAAAAAGAGAAAATCTTTTCCATTTATCTTTATTTCGAAACGTCTTTCGAAATAACTTTGGAAAAGCTTCCACGCAATATTGAAAATGCATTCTGCTTCAATTATTTTATGTGACATCGTTTTAGATGCAAGACTTTCAGCACGAGACCTCTTCTAAATCTTGAGTTGCTTATTAACTTTTGAATCCAACTTTTGAAAACTAACAGGAAAGAAGATATATAATTCGCTTTTCTCTGAAGAAAATCTTAACTGAAAACGGATTTTGGATAACAATAAATTTCTTTGAATTCGGAATAAATTGGAAAATGGAAATATGCTGTTTCTATTAGCTGTGATTTCATGCAATAGTGCCATATTTTGACTGTTCATATAAAAGGAACTGCTTCTATTTATTAAATATAAGAAAGTTTTGGAATTTCATATATGTATTAAGATTATTTAAGACGAAATCTTTAATGAAGATGAATGTTAATGTTTTAAAACTCATGCTTAAAGTTTTGAATGAATTCTCAAAGATCTTTAATGATTTGTTGAAAAAGATTCTTTCAAAACATTTATACTTAAATAAATTCCACATAATACTTAGGAAAAGCGTTAAGTTTAAAATAAATTGAATTTCATATGATAAAAATTCATTGTGATATTGTTACTTTCATTAATTTTTCAAATATTATTATTTAATTTTTCCCGTGTTTCCTTGAATTGCATGTAAAATCGTATTTTACAGTTTATTTTAAAATCCCTTCTAGAAATTTGCATACAAAATTTCAAATTACAATATAGTTTTGTATGCTTTCGTTTAAAACAATCGAAAGATAATGCATGCTATGTGTTAAATTTTCATTACAATATTTTAAATATGTGTTTCAAAGAAAATATAAGATATTCTTAAAAGTTTTAACTTGTAGATTTGTTAGCATTTTGCTGCATTTTTCATGGAGTTTTTTAATCAATAAATTTTAAGCAGAATGATTAAAATTTGAAACTATTTCAGAAATTATTTAGTGTTACATTTTTGCACACTTTATATATAATTATTACATTTAAATTTAAAGTGATCTAATTTAAAGATAAACTATAAATGCAAGTATCAATAAACAGCATATGTACAAAATAAATATTCGCAGTAATTTAACAACACATTCTTAAACACACTTAGAAATCTTTATCTTTCTTGTAGGGTTAAGCTATATGACTTTCCCCAGTATTGAAGAGTACTTCTAGGATTTAGGATGAAATAATTGATGTAAGAATAAGTTTCTGAAAAATAATTTTTGTAGTATAATATAAATTAATTAGTACCTAAAATGTAATTTATAAAATCGTTCTTTTGACAAAATTTATAAACTTCGGAAAATATGCAGCTGAACTAGGTATTCCAGCATTTCTCAAACTGTGGGGGCACCTCTCTGGGGGGAGAGATAAATCTTCGAGGGGGGCACAA